TCGATAGTCTAAGAGAAGCTAGAGTGGTGGGTCAGTTTGACAAAAAGTTTATCCTGCTGATTGCTAATGCTAAAAGTAGTCATTATCAACTGTTTGAAGAACCATTCTCCAAACAACATGGATACAGATATAAACATTCCTACATTATTGCAGTTGATCAACATGCTGCACATGAGAGAATACTTGTTGAATTTTTTGAGAAGGAGTGCTTGGATCATTTTGAAATGTCTTCAAATAGAGCAACACGTGAACTCCAACTTTTGAAAATATTTTCCAGGAAAATATCTTTAAAACTATCAAGGCGATTGGTTCCCGATATCTTTAATTTAGTGAACCAAGAACCAGTTAAGTTATATTGGCTATTAAAGTATGGGTTTTCAGCTATTCTTGATTGTAACTCCATAGAGCAGTCTATTATCGTTACTATGATCCCTCGAGTAATTCCTCAAAGTCATTCGTCAGAAAAACTCCTTAGGAAAATCATCGCGAGTTGTATTCGGGTCATACTGTTAAATCGGGAGGAATCAAACGTCAGTATTATACACCAGATCATGTATGTCGCCGAAAGTTATATGTATTTTTACTTTATATATTAAAAGTCCTTAATTGTATTATAATTCAGTCGGTTGTTGTGTTAAACTTTGCAATGTCCCCGTAAATATCCAATATTCTTTTTCAAAACGGTTGTTGGTATTCAGCAATCGACTCCTCTGTGATAAAATGAGAGTCCCAATATAGATTCATTCAGTCATAATTTCGTGAACTTCCGACAATGTTCTCATATACCAACGGCTGTCATCAGAGTATAAGAAAACTTACTGTCACCAAATTCATTATTAAGGGTACCGAATAATAACATAAGGTGACTCTGTACTTCAAAATTAAGTTCAGAAAAATTCCTAAGCGTTACAGTAACACTTTCTACAAAATATTTGTTGTTACGGTTATCAAACTAGTATCTTTTATTTATCGAAATCCAAGACTTTCATGTTGATGGAGCTTGAGCAAACTTACATGTGATATTTTAGGCAGGCTTGGTGAAATTATTAAACATATTTTAGACAAGTTTTTACAATGGTTTTCAAGTAGAATTTTAACACGTGAAACCCTTTAACAGCTGCTGCATATCAATGTTCTGTTGTTTGCAATCTACGGCCTGGAATTACTCCCTAATTTGTTTGTTTCAGGACTTGTGGTGCTGATGTTTATTGCTACTATATCAAAGACTATTTCTGCAACTGACTTGAATTTGTAAACTCTTGCCGAAGTCAATTTTCATGCACCATTTTCAGGACCATCTTTGTAATCTACTGTTACCACCCTGTATTTTTGTGCTACTAATGATCACATAGAATTACATACTACGGTTAATTTCCTTTTACATAATACCTTGTATAATATCGTTAGATTTCTGTGCAACCTTACATAAACCACCTCGGTGTTTTACCAGTTAATGAATAATAGATCAGTAGACGGACTGTTATCTTCAGCTATATCTCCAATCCTCTCTCAAAGAGATTTGTTGGAGAAATATTTAGTACCCAAAGTACTTTATTCTGGTGCTAGCGGATTCTGTGATTTCATGAGATTAGACAGCTTGTCTTGAATCATTTTATTTTTTGAGGACGCTGGCAAATGTAGTAACCAAATTGATAAGGATACAATGATACGATCTATTTAGTTCAATCCTTAACAGGAGTTACCAGTATCTTCTAGTTCTCGTGAACTAATCCTAGGGTAGGGAAACAGCAAGAAACTCAACCAGTAAATGATGAGCAATGTTTGTAGAGATTAAAAACAACATAAGGTGTAATCATCTACAATTTGGATTTAGAGATGAAAGTCCATCCCCACATATAAGTATAATATGTCACTGAATTAGTAAGCTGTATGAGGGATTATCGCTGCGATAATCAAATTTTCTTTCAAGACGTTGATAGGAAGTCCAAGATCCTGATTAACTTGTGTAAAATTTAGAATTCGGATTTTATTTCGATTATGTTAAAGTATTTTGTATTGGCTATATGGATTATTTGTCTCGTATGAAAAAAGTAAAAATGGTTCGTGATTTATTATATCGAACGCTTCTGTGCGATTAACTTATACTTGAAGATAAAAACTAGGAAACGTCGAAACTCAAGATCTAAAGTCAATCCTTACTTCCAGACATCCAAAGATGTGCCAACTATTGTTCTAAAATATGGGCTGGCCGTAATTATTTAACTGAGGCCCTGTGTAAGTCGGCCATCAAAATCCATATATTTATATACTGAATCCGAAGGTTCTGAGAACTGATTATAAAATTTAAAACTATGGATTCAATATCTTTCAAATGCGCTCCTATTTTAAAGTCACTATTAATAATACGTCACATATAGTTCCATCTCACTGTTAACTGAATTGTTGGTATAAAACTGATACATAATGCAAACTATATTGATTATTTCATGTTTTATGAGATAGGTGTTAGACGCTGTCGCAGCTTTGTAGGTTTTGGTACCAAAGATATCTTAATAATATCCCTCATTTGTGTAGTACTAGAGCAGGGATTTTTCCTAATGATGTAAGTCGTCTGTTGATCCAAGAGCGGCATAACGTGTAAGAGCAGCTAGAACATAGTTCAAGTAAAATAACTATCGCTGGATGCCTTATTAAAAGTGAATAAACCACTCATGTACGAAAATGTTTAGCCAATCCAAACTCTAGTGGTCATATACACACCATTCATGTGACAAACAGAAGTTTAGTTGACATTTAAAGCTAACACGAATATAATATCTAACAAGTTCTCACTTTCTGGTGAAATTTTATTTGACTTTGGTAGTTTGCCTCAAATACAACACGGAGAACACCAACCTAATCACACTTGATGAAGAAACACTGGAAGATGTGGGGTCTTCCGCGTACCGCATCATCGATGAACAACGAGGATCGGATACAGACGTAAATGTAAGGATCGAAAATATAACGGCCGCATTCCTACAATTGAAGAGCATATAGAACTCAAGACAACTGTCAACCAATGTCAAAGTCACAATCTTCAATACGAACTTCAAGACAGCCCTACTGTGCAGAGATGAAACGTAGAGAACTACTACAACCATCATCAAAAAGGCACAAGTATTTATAAACAATTGTCCACACAAGATACTCAATATCCGTTAGCCGGATACCATCAGCAACAGTCTACTGTGAGAGAGAACGAACTAGCTGCAGTTGAAGAGAAAATCAGGAAAAGACGTTGGAAATGGATAGGAGACATACATTACGGAAATCACCAAAATGCATCATGAGGCAAGCCCTAACTTGAAATCCAAAAGGGGAACGGAAAAGAGGAAGACCGAAGAACACGCTATGTCGGGATTCGGAAGCAGACATGAAAAGGATGAATAGCAACTGGAAAGGATTTCCCAGGACAGGGTTGGATGGAGAGTGCTGGTTGGTGGCCTATGCTCCTCCAGAAGTGGTAACTGGCGTGTTTGTCTAAATAACTCTGAACAATTTAATGTACGTTATGGGTCTGTACTAACAGCAACAACTACTCGTAACAGTGAGTACGCAAAATGTGTAAAGTTGGACCTAAAGAAAAAATAATTACAGATACCAAAAGATGATATTATAGGAACATTCCTACGACTAATTTTTGTCGAGCCCTTTTATTAACTTACTTAACATACAATATTGTTCGAACATTAAGAATTCGTATATTTACTTGCATTATTATGATCGCTATCATGTCTGTATAAACGTGTATACTTGATCACATGTGACAGCGTACACGCATATCTCTCCCTAACTTAAATATTACTCGATGAATCATTCTCTTCCCCATGTATATATGTATTCGAATAGCATTAATAACCTTTACCTTGCCTTGGTTCGATATGACTATAAATTCACATCAGTATTCGCTCACAAATACACTGGCCTTTCTGCTCGAATTCGCTCGATGTGCTTGTAACTTGGTTATCTGTGCTATCCGCTAATAAACTATAGCTGCCGCTTCTTATTGCCCTCCGAATTCAAACACCGTTGGGATTTATATAATAACGGTTATCAAGGTGATTGGTAGGCGAAGCTTACGGAATCATCTCAAAACCAAGCCACAAAAAGTTTTAGTTAGCATCTAAAAAAGGTTTTTGTTCGTATTACTCTGCGAATTGTAGTAACTAAAGGGTGAAATATAGTAAAAGTTGATGTTCAGTAGGAAAAAATAAAGTTGAGAAAGTCGCTACTGAGCAGGAATGTTTCTCAGTCAGTTTATCATTGTGGTTACACACGATTATAAACATTACAAAATCAATAGGTGTCATTTATATCGTGAAGGTAGGTATTAGAAGTAAATAATCTAGTAAGCCATTCAAGATGAATATCGATAGTTCCCGTTTGTGTGATAGACATGCATGTAAACCATGTAACAGGCTGAATAATATACTGCAAATGGTAAGTGTATAAGCACAAAAATCTTTACATGGTTTTGGTGCGTTCGCGCAGTTAGAATTAACGTAATTTACGACTTAAATAAGACAATTTTTCTTTCGTTTTCAGGCAAGCGATTCATCCCCTTTTAGAAAGTCGAGCTTGTCATCAAGCAATTCGTTTCGGAAGTAAACTTAGCAGAAAGCAAATGGAGAAACTTATAATTGAACTTTCAAGATGTCGTATACCTTTCCAATGCGCACATGGACGTCCAACTTGTACTTTAATTAAAATAACTGATAAAGAATATGATTAAATTTTATAGATAAAAATGTCCATAATACTAAGAAGTAAATATTTCAAAATAAAATCTATACAGTACCATAATTGTCTAGTTTTAATCTGTACACCTTAATCTGAAGACAATAGTGTGGTCGACATTTATACTTTTTGTTAAAACAAATCTTAAAAAATTTATGAAAACAGAACAATGTTACATGTCAAACAATTTGTAAAACGATATGGTTTAAGAAGAAAATTACAGTGTTTGATATTCATGAAGTATATCACTATATGAAATATTACGAAACATTTTCAGAGGATGCCATTTTAAATGTTCTGCAAAATTTAATCCAACCGATAGGAGTGAATATTGCAGTTATTCTAAGCCTTTCTGAACTCGAAGGGGAGGTGTCCACGCTTGTGACCATAGCATTAGAATAAATCCATCTATAAAAACAAAATAAAAATCCACTCGTTGGAATTACATACTTGTTAATGATTGATATTAAAGATAGAAATACAATTTTTAAAAATCGCTATCGAAACTACCATCAAATGCTTTACAGTGTTGTACTACATATATTACGTATGTTATTTTTGCGTTGATTGTAAACTTCTAATTTCGAATCGCTGAATTAAATGAGAATGATTAAAGTGCTTGTGCATTAATAGTATCTGATCACCTAACAGTTAAGATAATAAATATAGCTAGTCCGATTTATTCTCAGTTCCAGTAGATTCAGTTCAAGTTAAATTGAGGATTCTTCATTGTATCTAAACATATATATAGACCAGCACAAAAAGATTTCCGCTCAAAAAGTTCTACCTTAAATGTTCCTCTTAAACAGGTATCATTCCGTACTGTCATACTGTAGCCTGTTATATCGTAACCTGAGAGATGATAGAACATTTGGTAGTCGTAGGGCTAACACTAGGAGTCAAACATCTTATCTGTTTTAAGAGGTATGAATGAGAGATTTGTTAATGGAAGTTGATTACCGATGTATATAATACACCTCTCCTGATTAGTTGATCTACTGATTGATCAATGTTGAGGTCAAGTACAGAGTTAAAAATGTATGTTAGATTATAGACATACTTAAATAGGACACTTATTAGATAAGTGGAGGAACTTTTTACTTCGAAGTAGTATATTAGTTTGAGTGGACTTCAGGCAGGAAAAACTAGGGGTAGTATCAACTAAACAAGGTATCAATTCAGGTTTTGGCCATAATCCGACTAATAATCACAATATACATCTTCGACATTTTCGCTGATAACGTTCACGTTAGTTAAATAATCACATCCACCAACCCGGATATGAAAAATCTTACCGATTAAACTCTATGCACATAACCGAATTTCCGACTTCAAATGACCAATATCATTTGAGAAAAGAATGACTATTATGCAAGTATATATAGAAAAACTAAAATTCTTAACTACTTAAGCACTTTTCACCTCTAATAACAGACAAATATGTTTCTATAAATTATTTGTATGTTCTTCTTATCTGAGATTTCATAATTCTGTAAATCTGACAGTTAATTTAGATACTACGGGTGAAACAGATGTTAGAACTAGTATATTAGGATTACCAATACTCACTGAAAACTAGGACCACCTTGGCGAACATCCAAGGTGCGTGAAAACCATCCTAGACGTTTCATTAAAGCTAGTTGAACTTTTGAAGTCAACTCTTTCATACCTGTCCCAGTTTTAGCAGATATTAATGCATCAAATCCAGTGTACACATCATTTGATTCACTAAAAAGTTCATACAAAAAAACAAAGTAACTTAATAAGTACATAATATATAATGTTTATAGTAAAATATGTATCAGCTACTTAACTCCTACCATTTTATATATGGTGATTAATTTTAGTCAACTAAGTGTTTACCAAAACGATTTCTAATGTGCGTTAAACTAATGTCAGTAACTGTTAGTTTTGACTCTGATATCTGGATACCACAGCCTCTATTTTCCTTCTGGCCACAGCTACTGCAAAAACATCTTGAAAGTAAGACAAAAAGGATTGATTTAAGCAACCAATACAAGCGGACAACCACATTATAGAGAATGACCTTAAAAATAGGGCAAACCCTGCTATGGTTAAAGAGCTAAGAGTCAATTAAAAAAGTCTTTAAACACGACAAACTAAAGGATAACTACCGTAGGGAGACTTGGTGTGCAAAATAGAGATTCAAATCTCTAAAATAACAAAATAATTAGTAAGTGATTTCTAGGGGAATTAACACATTCTGCCCTCCATCAACAGTTCCAGAGTGAATTCCACATAAAAAATAGCCGATATTTCATGTCACAACGAATGATGATTTATTTACATGCCAGAAACGGGTGCAGTCAATCACTTAAGTCGAATGCAACGTAGAACCTAGCATGTGCGTACACCTGATCAGGTTTCCATACTTCATTAGCACAGCGGGATGAAATTGTTAGGCCGAATCCTGGAGTAGTAGAAGTGGTAACAGAGAAGACTAGGTACTGGATATATGCTTTAAGAAGATAGAAATCGGTGAAACAAAAACATTATCAGGAATTTAGAAACTTAGGATCTGGGGGAAGACAGAGTCGATGCACCTGAGCCACCGCGAACGATTTCGAGCCATGCCATTTAAAGTCTCTAACCACCGGTTAAAATATTCACGCAGACCCCAAACGGGTAGTTTGCACCTATTAACATCCCTCAGTCCCATCAATAATGACTTTATAGGTGGTACCAAGTCTTGTTTTGACCACACCTATCTTTTTTAACCTACTCCCAGATCAGACCACCCATTGAGGTAGGCAGTGGTCGTTTATATGAAATAGATGTTTTAACCACCTTATATGACTAGAATGTACCACCCCATCAATCGATTTACCATCTTTATCTAGTATCATACGCTTAACCTCGGCACTGCTTATTCAGTAGAACTCAAATGCACGAGAAATGCTTTCAGGACACCTATGATTAAATACTAATAACCTACGAGTATCTTCAATTCTTAACGGCTGTTTCACACTCATAAAATAGAGAAGAGCGAAAGGCTGCACAGTATACATGTTATTTAGTTGGCAGACAGATATCTTGTCTACGCCATAAATAGGTCAAGTTGGGAAAGGCCAATCGAGCTTTCTGAATTCGTGTAGAGATTTTGTCAGACACCAATCCACCAAGACTGGTGAAACTCTGAAAATAAGTGAAATGGTCGATACGCGTTACTACTTCACTCCATATCATTAACTCAGGTGCTGATGCAGGTCAGTCCTGAAGTAACACTTTGTATTTAGAGGGGAGAGAATCACATTACAAAAATGCTTGCATTATTGCTCAAGTTGATCGCAAGACTTTTTCAGTGTCTTTATCAAACAGAACTATGTCATTTGCAAATAATAAGTCAGAAAGTGAATCTTCTGATAAGTGATCAACCACTGAAAAATCAAACGGGAGCGTTTTCTCGGAAGAATATCTATGGTAAAAAATAAATAAAAATAGGGAAAAGTAGACAATCATTACGAACACCACTTGAAGTTAAGAATTTGAATAGCAGTTTCTAATAAGCTCTGACTCGACCAGTAGTGTTCGGGTAGAGAACCTGTACAGCGTTGGTGCATTTTTCAGTACGCCTTCGAATGACAGATACTGCCACAGAACCTGAAGGTCAGTTGGACTGTTTTACCCTTTGGTCCACTCTTTTGAATTGAGAGTGAATAATATTCGCATCTTTTTCCGAGATGGTTTCATTGACAGCCGGATTTTTAATACGCATTTCCTTGATAAGTCTAAATAGTTACCTGTTATTACCTATCACCGCTACCTTTCAATCTCGTTTTCTTTCGCTACCTACCACTGCTCACAATCATTGGGTAGGTTTTTTACCACCCTAAGTAAGTTGCTTCCGCTCTTCATCGTGTTTAGAACCAGACAGGATAAGCTTCCAAGCAACCATCAGTTCTTTAGATAATACACTTATCAGGTGATGAAAAGACTTTTTTAAAAGTCTGCAAATTTAATACTGATATACATACAAATTACCTTTTTTGGCATTTCCATGCCAATTCATATATTCATACGCTTTTGATAAAGTCACGAATTCTGATGACAAAACGTCTATGATTAAATATGAGACCTTACAGGATCGCAAACAAAAGTTTCCCTTATTCCAAGCAACATTTTGACGAAATAGCAAAGTGTACTTTATCGTATACACCTTTATATTCTAGGCAAGATTGTACTGTTATGTAACAAGAAATAAATTGACCTTATACTTTAATGATACCCTTATATTAATCTGGAGTTCAGATATTACACATTCTCATAAAAGTCAATAAGAAAATGACCTCTTACTTTCCTTACATTCGATCTAGTTTGTTACCTATTTTTAACACTTGAGGTGGTTCAAATGCATTGGAATCGTTTGTGTGTCCAGAATTTGTCGGTTTTTTTATAACACCAATATTGCACAACAGCTCCTCTACATGATTCACTTGTAATTGCCATTCAGGTTGACTTACATCAACTATGTGCAAAATCAGATCCTAAAATTGATGGATAATAGCATGAACAACAAAACGAACATAGGTTAAGTGAATATAGTAACACAGGAAGAACAAAAGTTACGAATAGGTAGATTTCATTGTACATTTTTTGATTTACAAACTTCAAACATCAAATTAAAAAGCGGAGGTAAGAACAATCAATCCGAATTTTGGCAATAAGTTACATTCTTAAAAATACTGTAAGTCTAGTGAGCGCTAACATACAGCAGTATCTTCGAAACACGACAACAATCACCTAATTGATATAAATGTGTATGTGTACGTATCATAAGTTTTGTCAGCTAGCACAATACAACAGATGAAAAACCCATAAGAATTTGAAATATAAGCTTGTGTCATCCTTTCAAAAGGGGGTAGTTTCCGGGATTCAAGGCAAAACATTTATCATTTAAAGTTGATATATGAATACCATTATAGTGCTAAAAACTCCTTCAAATGAAAACAACAAGCTAATCCGTAATTTGGTTACGACATGAGATTATGTAATGAAAGAAATACAGACACACAACAAACTCACTGCATCTAAACATTCATCTAAAGTAGCTCGAAACGCAGCCAATAAATTAGTTGGAAGATCAGACATAAATCCTATTGTATCCAATAGTAACATTTGTATCCCAGGCAATCCTATGCTATTAGAACAACCACCATCGTTGCCATTCTCAGAAAACAACTGATTAGAAGTCATATTGTTCTCTCCTACTTTATTTGGAAGTATAGGCAACCGACTTCGATGATGTGTGATATCCAAAGTGGCGAACACTTCTGGGGATGAGGTAAGTTTGTCTGATTTGCTTAAATAGCGTATAAGACTTGTTTTACCTATGGAAGAATGAAAACGAAGTGAAATATTCATGTAAAAGTATAAAATCCAATTGGTGGGATATAAATTGGATTAAAGAGTGTTCTGTGAAGGATTCTATTGGAGCACGTTGATGGGTTGTTTTTTGGCCAATCAGAGCTAGCGAATACTTGGAGAAGATACTAGAATCTTCTTATACAAAATTTTAAATAAAGTGACATTTTATTATTGTGATTCTTCCTATCATTCAACCTTGTTTATTTGGAATATTACTGCGTTCAACTTTGTTCAGATTTGGGGACTTTGTGGAGTGAAATAAGGTGTTCGAAGAATGCTAGACAATAAGAGTAGCTGGGTTGTTGTGAGAAAAATCATAATAGTATTGTGATTAGAAAACGATAGGCGGGAATAATTTGTGCATATTTAAACATATGTTAATATTCGGTTATATATTTTCATGATTTAAAATGTAGTAAGCACTGGAAAAATAAAAATGTATATCAACATAGTCAGTCAGTCAATCACATGGGAACCTTTACTGAAGCTAATAAAAATATTACCACTTATTGCTATGACTTGAGACGCTAACTGATGTAATATGCTAAATCCAGCAATCAGAATTCTGAGTACAGTCATTTTTATCCCACGTCTACTATTGCGTCTAAGGTTTAGCTTCCTCAACTGAACAATTATATGTCTGACCTGAACAGTTAAACTTGGACAAACGCAAGCTAAGTAGCTCCTATTGATCCGCTATCCACGAGCTTTTTTCTATACCATGTCTTGAGTCCAAAGAGAAGTCAGCAACAGTCACTTATCCGGAAAATTCATTGACAAAAATCAAGTAAAAAAATTATCTTAGAGACACCACTAAAAATAAGAGTGAATTATGGATTTAATAAAATTTAGTTTTTAGCAGCACTTATGCAAGTCGACAGATTATATTTAAAACTACTTTAGACTACGTAGTAAACTTATTGTCATACAATATACACCGATTCAGAAAATCGGAATGAAAAGAATACGAAAGGCATAACCAGTCGACCGCTAATCATTTACAGTTCCAATAGACGAATGGAAAATACACTGAGTAACGATTAATCTAAAGCGGTACACCAACTTTGAAGAAGCCTGTTTGTTCATTATTTAGATGATGAAAAAATCGGCGGACACTTTGTCCAACATAGCATCTCATGGAGTCTGTAAAGTTTACTATATGGATAATATTCAATTTGCTCTCTTTTGTCGGTTTTTCTGTTTAGATATAACTGACAAGAGTTTGTTGCCCGATGAGCTACATCTTTGCTTATAAAACTCAACAATTTTGTTGTAATTTGTTTTATGTTTACTGAACTGGAGAAAATAGACACTTGGAGATGGATCCGCCAAAAAAAAACAAATCTAAACTTATATATCTCACCAGCATTGGTATATCCCACAACAGCAACCAGTGGTAAATGATGTTTCTCCATATCTCGTCTATGATTACGCCTATGATGAATACGTTGTTTGGAAATTTTTTCCAATTGATTTAAAAGACTAACTTCTGTTTGCTATAATGAAAGTAAGATTCAAAACGATTTTTGCAATCAGAAAAACCATCGAAAATTTATTTAAAATTGAATAAAAATAAGATATCTGACGAAAGAAAAGTGACCTACAATCACTTGTTTGTTGACTGGCATTTAATCATGTTTGGGTATGCAATTGACATTCTGTGGATAAGCACAATATTTTACTAGAGAAGAATGATTTATCCTCTTGACTAAAAATTCCACTTCTTTTGATAAGGGTTCATTCGGGGAACTTGCGACAATAATTCAACCTCGTGACCAGTTATCTATCAGATACTAGATATCATCTATCGAACAATATTCTCATTTATTCACTTTTACAACCCCAACGAACGGGTTAGTGTAACTCACCAAGAAAGGCCACATCGTTATCGTGTTGCGAGGTTTTCGATCCTGAAACTGATAAACAAGCTCCCTATTCGCAAGCCCAAATCGGTACTTGAATGAGAAGCAAGCTTTTTATTAGCGAACGAGATCGAGAAATAACTATGTATATAAGCCATATTTTATTCCTTAGAAAATGACGTCAGATATTGACCAATGGCGTAGGCTTATCATTGAGTCGAGGTCTAATTGGTTTACTGTATCAATCATAATTCCAAACAGCAACTGAAACATTTATAGTTGATTGTAGATTCATTCTCCGATTAATTGAGTGTAAATAGGTTAAACAAATGGAATAATCTTTGACTAGATATAAATAAACTGGAAAAAGTCTATTTATTTCACATGACTGGTGTCTGCAAGCTACGCAACAGAAAGTAATACTGAGAAACGAACCAGATATAAGTGTTACTCTGTTACAATTCTGCTTCAGAATGCATACTTTCTTGACTGATTCAATATCTACAATCAGACAGTAATTCTACACATATTCTTTTTATCTACTCAGATGAATAGTAATAGAGAAAAAAATATGATCGCCTGCTGCAGGAATTCAAATGCTATACAGTAAATTAGTCCTGTTGTTACAGTGATTATTTTCGTACTAACTATTAATTGTGAGAGTAAAAAGTACACAAGAAAAAAGTTTCTTCGACTAAGAAACACAGCTTTAAAACCCTAGAAAACTTATTGCGAAACAAGTTTTTTAAAACAAATTGATAAATAACTCTTACATTAAGTATTTGTAATAAACGTTCCTTTGTAGCGAAATCTGACCTATCAACCAAGCATTTAATCATATTAGGTGTTTCAAAAAATGCTGGAATACGAGCTCGAAGTAATCCAATTTCAGCTAACTTTGCTTGAAGTTTTGCTTCTGGAGTACGAGATCGAAGATTAAAAAGCTGAACAACGAGGGTGTAACTGAAATTACAATTAACAGCAAAAAAAAATAAACAGCTCTTTTTCCAGCAAATAAAGGAAATTAAGTTTCATCGACCAAAAAGTACAGCACTATCCAGTTGGATGACAGGAGATAAAGTCTATGTGACGCTTAGGAGGAGGATTCCTGTCAATCATCAATATAGAACTAGTTGAGATCTACACACTTAGCAGCAGCATAACATAAGGAAATTATCACGGTGAAAGTCAAAGTTGGGATAATAATAGTAGCAACTTGAGTAAAGAAAATTAAATCGTACAGCCATATAAGGTCTCTAACCATAAACTACGATCACCAGACAGACTCCCATCAGGATCAGAAGTAATTCCAGTCAGAGGCATCCACACTTTGTCTTACCTTAGATTTCGAGTTTTAAAATTAGCTGGTACTTTCTAATTCACGACTTTATTGTTTTTCTCGAATGATAGTATCTATGCCCAAGGTTTTCTGATACCATTGAAACTGCTATAAATGCCACTTTGAAGTATATATTGAAAAGTCTAACTCGCTTGTTCATAGTCATATGCAAACGAAGAATCAAGTAAATATGTGCATCTTTTTAAATTACCAAAACAAACTAAAATAATCAACACAAATCTCAGAGTAGGATGATTGATAACAATATTAGTAGTGGGGTAAACGATTAGGTATAAAAAGGAAAAAGAGGTTTAAGATTTCAGGACTTAGATTCTAAGAGAAGACAGATTGAATGTACTCAAACCACTGTGAACGGTTCTGAGATATCAACCAACGTCTCCACCCACCGGTTATAATAATTACGCGAACACTAACCAGGTAGTCTGCATCTATCTACAAGTCTTGGTCCAACAGTCAATGAATTCATGAATCGACCCCTGACTTTGGTAAAACCTCAAAACATACTCATACACCAGTCATCATGAACAGCCGAGGTAGATGGTAGTAACATATTAAGACATGTCCCAACAATGTCAGCAAATAAAAATCCACAACCTCATCAACCGATTTGTTCTCTTTACCTAATACTCTGAGTCCAACGTAAAAACTGCTTACTCGGCGGTCTCAATATACGCGAGTGATATTTTCAAGATAACTACGAATGAATACTATTTTTCTATGAATATTTCCTATTTTTAAAGGTCACTTTTCACAGCCATAAAATAGAGCAGAGTGAAGTGCTGTACAGTATACTCGATATTTATTTGGCAGACAGATATCTTGTCTACGAAATAAATAGGTCAAGTTGGGAAAAGCCCATCGAACTTTCTAAATTTTCGTCAGACACTAATCCATCAGGGCTGATGAGACTTCTAAAATAAGTGAAGTGATTGACGAGCTACACAAATTCACCCCCATTAGTAGATAAAGTGTTAACGCAAATTAGTTGCATTTAGGTGGAGAGAATCTCATTTTAAACACCACTGTATCGTTGTTCAAGGCGTCTTCATCAAACAGAACTGTCATTTGTACATTATAAGTCAGCAAGTGAATCTTTCAGGAGATCAATTCTTGAAAGGTTAGACGACAAGAGCGTTATCGCTAAAAGAATATCTACAACGAGGTTGAATAAAATAGGGAAGGTGGACAACCATAAAGAACACTGTTTTACGTTGACAATTCATCTAGCTACACTGATATGGCGTGGCAACTTGAACCGATGCACATATGTACCAGGTTTCACGTTGTTTGTGGCTTGATTAACTAACTAACCAGGATTTCTATGGGCTTTCTGGGTTATATATGCTATGATTATGTCAATCCAGACATTATGTTTGAAAACTGGTTACGCTACCAGGGAAACGAAAACAAAGTAGAATGTGACAGGGCTATTTAGCGATTTAAGTTGTCAACTTAAAAAAAAAACAGCGGAAGACCAACTAGAGGAAAAACAAGAGTAATGGTGGCTAGGCCACTCAGTATACAACCATTAAAATTTTAAATCCACTACAACCACTTTAGTTCGAGCAACCAAGTAGTACATCACAAACCTTCATATGCAAACACCACAACTTGAAACTGGGTATATAAACCTGTACTGGTTAACAAAATCCACGAGGTTTGAAAAAATAACATGTATACATTGATGTTTATCCGACATACTCTGAACTATGCTATTAAATTGTGAGTTTCTGTATTGTTTTTTCGTCATGATTATGAAGTTTGTATTTCTGTACATAATTCAAGTCGAAAATCGATGTTGTGTTCTGACCATAATGCGGTCTCTTCTATCCCGTTTCTTTTTTAGTTGTTTACAGCGAAACAGCTATCCAACGCTCACTAGTTTCTAATGCTTATTCAGATGTCACTTAGTGAAGAAAACTATTTCTAAACTAAGCTGATTTTCCACAAACTTACAAAGAAAATAATTAAACGAGATCACACATAGGAAACAGATGAATCTTAAGTAACAAGTACACCAGTTTAAGTTGTTTTATTGAGAAATATTAAGATCAAAGAAAAAACCCACAGAGATCTTCTCATAGTAACAAGCTAAAAACCTAATAATTCAATTATTAATTTTCAGTAGGTTCAAAATAAAACTAACCGATCATAAACAGGCATTAGCCAGGCCTGTTGCATAAGTGCCAGTTGTAGTGTTGTTAAACGAGGCCAATTTACGAGGACTGCTGTTGCTCGCTTTTTAACTGTATGATCAGAGGATGAGTTATTTTTTTCGTTAGGAAGTGTATCACCAGTCTGAACAGACTGTTTCCCATCACGATAAGCAATTACAGACTTTGATACATTTTGCCATATACCTTTACTAAAAAACGGTCCTTTATTAGTTTTGGCGGCTTTTACATTGCAAAATATCTAGAAATATGATTTAAAGAATTAAAGAAAATATCATCACCTATCCAATACTTCTCAAACTAACAAAAACAATTTCCCACTTCGGGATAAAATAGTAAAACAAATTTGCATTCACAAATAAATATAACCAAATGTGTGATAACGCATGAAAATAGTTTACATAGCAAACTGATATCAATTAGTGAACCAATGGGAATCGGGAAGCACCAGACAGGTAGTTGGTTTTTGTTTCAGTGTTCTCAGAAGTTGTATACTCACAACACATATGATAAAACCTGGGAGAACATCATGTTTTGCGGTGAACGTCTTTAGATCGGTGGGTAAGAACTCAAGTGTTCAGTTTTTCAACCTCAGTCATATTAGATTAATGAACAGCATATGGCATAAATCATTTATCCAAACTGGATATATTATTTATACAAATCCCTATGCCTTGCCTGATAGTTACATGCTCATAAACCTGCTATAACTGGATAAATACTAAGCAGTGTAGAACTTTCAGAACGGTTCTACCTGAAGTCATTTATAATTTTGGTTGTATAATTACTAAATAGTTGAACTATTGTGTTTTTGTGTTCTCCTACTTGCATGTTTTCCAGTAATGTATATACTGATATTATGTATTGTGCCTTTTTCAAGCCACTGCTGCTTATTTACGGACCTATTACTCAGTCCTCTCCCACATACGGCGTAGTTATGCGGACATTGCAATCCCTCAATTATATTGACACGTGGCCAGGATTTTACGCTATATTACTGTATGAGTGACTCATACATTCAACTGTATAATCAGAGCGAGAATGGAAAACTACAATTCGTACCAATAGTCATTTAGTGTTATTGTCGTTTGTTATCTCACCATTGTCGTGTCACTGGTTAGCCGTCGACTGACACTAGATAGACAGTCTAAGCGAACCAATTAACTAGAGCGATATAACTGCTTTACTGTATAACGGTTGAACTAAACGGGCCCTAAAAACAACTAGCAAAAAACTTAGTTCATATTTTTTACTATCACATCAAAAAGACAAGAGATCCTGACATCCACCCTCGTGATTTAAAAAATGAAAATTATTGTGCTAGCTATAAAAAAATCCTTAGGCTATTCTACTCTACTCCCTAACTGGACATGACATTGGGGTGATTACAGCAGAAATAAGTGTTTTCTTATCCAGATCATTGCTAAAGACAAGACACTAAGATATGTAGTAGTAATGATACCAATGATAATAAGATCGGTAGTTTTGCTCAATTAATAAAAAAAATTTGGAATAAACGCAAGTTGCCAGTTGTAAAGGGCAGGTCCTAGAAAAAAAAGAACGTCTAGATGGTGGAGTTCCTGTATCATAGTGACTTAGATTGGTCATTTCGACTTATTGATGGGAAAAAAACTTAGTAAAACAACTTCGATGACAATTCTACTTATTCACAAAATCTAAGCCGTTTACCGAATTTGTCTCCCATTATCTTTTTTACTAATTAAAAGTTAATAAACCAGAAAGTTTTATTTGAAGGTCAATGGTACTCTACCGGCCACCACCCAGTTGACCAAATCAACGTGAGAGCTGTGACTAAGTACTTAAAGCACTAAGCTTTTAACTAATAAGTAATACTTTTGAAACTAGCTTATTAGGCAGCCTAAGTAGAATTAGTAATCCTCACATAAAACAGTATGACCTAAAACTGAGTAAATAACCCTATGTATTTAGCAAATGAGTTACATAAACATTTTATCATTGTACTATTAAAAATAATTGTTTTATATCAGGAAATCTATGCAATATTATGTCAAATTTTTACAGTAATTAATTTAATTAATGGTTATTGTTTGAAGGAGAAAACAAGAGTAATATTAAATGGTCAATGAATGTATAAAAACCACAAATGTTACTCTACGTACTTCTACTATTTTCTCAAAAACTTTGGATAATTAATTAGCGACTGAGAAAAACTCAGAGAAAATACAAATGATTTACATATTTTGCATAAGGACGGATAACTTCACATATTCTTTTAGGGATAGTGAAATAAATTCAGATCGGATCCAACTGATTTTTCATGTTGTAACATTAATATGGTAAAGAAGTTGTTGAACACTATCATCTTGACTGATCATTAGGAAGCTCAGTTGTTTGTCATTACATTAGATGAATTCATTAGATTATTCATATTGATAGCCAAACAGTTCCTTTAGAACAGTGAGTTTAATTAACGAGGATATTGGAGGACTATTTTCAATAAACAGTCCATAAAGTCACTAACTTCTGGTTTGAGCTATGTTGGTAGATGCAGACTACTTGATTGGAGTCCTCTCGACTATCGTAACCAATGGTTGGAGACTCTGGGTGGCATGACTCAGAATCGATTACAATGACGTAAGTGTATACATTCTTTCTCTTCCTTTTATATATTACTACCATTAAAGTAACTACTATGAATTTGGCGATCATCTTGTTGTACTAATGAGGTGTCGCAACTTGGACTGATGCATATATATGCCTGATCTTACGTTGTAGCTGACTGACTGACTGACTATTGAATCTTGCAACATTTTTTATGATACTTATATCTCTCAAAGTTTGGTTTAAGATGTAATATTTGTAGTCTAATTGAGAACCCATTGAAATAATTAATGTGACACCTGCTACTTTAACTAGAGGAAACTTTAACGATCTAATATTGAATTAAATTTGCCGAAAGAAAACATGAACTTTCAAGTCAATATTATCTCCCTATATGAAATATTTCAAAACAAACAATATTATATGTAAGCTAGTATTAATTTTTCATCATTAGGTTAGTCACAAAACTAACAGAAATAGAGTAGAATATGAATTTGACTATACAGCAATCGCTTGTTGGAAGCTAGACTAGCAGTTAATTTAGAAATATGTTACCTATGTTGTAAACGCTTATATTAGTGGAATCAGAGATAAACAACCGAATTACCATATAATCCTAATGATAATGATAATAATAGTAGTAGTGATAATATTGTTATTATTATTACACAATTCATTTACCAAAAGTACAACCATATTGGCTCTGTTCTACAAAATCCACCTATTCTCATGACGCTCAGGCCATAAAAGAATGTGTTATTTCTAGAGAACTACTGCAGTTATCAACTCAATGTTTACAATATAAGGAAGTATAATTGATTTGGTGAACCATTCGCGGTTTTACAGTTTTAAGGTATGGGTTTAGACGTAAACAGCCTCATATATGAGACTAATGAAAGGAGTAACCAATTTGTTCACATCTATATACACACTCCAAAGAAAGGTAATTTATTATTATACTGGTTTTTAGGCGAACCAAACATTATTTTGGCTCTCTACAAGCTGAACAGAACAGTTTCAACTTGCAAGAAAACCACACAGGTACCAAGATCTTGAGTCATGTGATCACATTACACTTATGTATTACTTTCGACCAACAATCCCATTAACCAGTTATGCGCAGCATAAACAGGACAATTCTAATCTATTTCGATCACACAACTGCTAAACTTAATATTATAAGCAACAGCGATATGGATTTAATCAGTCAGCTACAATTATATGGATTACGTCATAATGAAACAGGCTCTTAAAAACGCAGAAAGGGATTGCCGACATCAATGATGCCAGTTACCCAACAAATCAATCTGAGTATGAGAGGCTATTAAAATCTGGAGAGATATGATGAACCCTTCATAATATCACTAGCGTACATTAGGTTACTTAAGAAACCCTTACCTCTTTACATTAATATAACTTATGCTATGTGCTTTAGGGTTCTTACATATAGCGATTCACAAATTACCACATTAAGATCTTGTATACATGCCTAGAAGATAACATGTATTCGTGATCATTAGTTCTACATACACAGTTAACATGCTAAGTGCTCTTATAAGTAGTTGGAAGAGTCTTTTATGCAAACGTAGAATACTAGAACAAATAATTATCTCTGGAACTAAAGTAATGAAATTTTAAACAATGTTAAAACAGCCTATTGAAGATGAATATGAGCCTGAATATGATCAGATGAGACTTCTTGATTCAATAATTTTGTGGTCAACACGAAGAGAAATGCTACATAACAACCTGTTTACATCGCAGTAAAATTTTAGTTATCTTTACTTTATTCACCTATTTTTATTAGCTGATGTTGAGGAACTTTTCATGAAATACCGCAGGATATATTAAAGATTAAAACGAATAACTAGATGGAATAAAATGCTTTCTTTACATCAGTAATGCAGTATTCAACCTAGAAAATTTATGATTAATATTAGACTTCAATGAACTAATAATTACACTTACCACACCAACGGTAGTCCAAAATCCTAATGAATCCACAAGAGCGACAGCTTCGTCTACATTGGGATCATTTTTAGGTGAGTATGATAGGCTGTTGTTGATCCTAGTGTAAAATACACCTTTTAAATCTTTAATGTAAACATTAAACAATTTGGTAAGTTCCTATTAATAAATAATATTAAAAGAAAAACTACGAAATAGACAACTAATTTGTTTTTGTTTAAAACTCTATAATATTGTGTATCTATAATAAAATTATATATATATATATATATATATATATATATATATATATATATATATATATATATATATATATATATATATATATATATTGTGTATCTCCCGACCGAAGCTGTTACCTTGACGCGGTGGTCGGGCTTGCCTATCGTGATGACCCAACCAAGCTATAATGGCTGGAACATATATTTCTGTAGGTTATACCATGCCAGGCAAGTCGACTGGAGAACGGTAAGACTAAAAGCAGCAACTCAAGGTCTGAGGGCGTAGTCGTACTGCTGACTGTAGAGGGGTGTGACAGCAGTAAGGTGTTTCCCTCGGACAACCAGCATGCCTTCTCACAAGGAAGGAAAATGTTAGAAAAGGTCGACCCTAAAAATGTCACACCTCATGTTACCTCACGGATTTCCGTCTCCGGTGGTATGGCCCTTTGAAGAACGGAGCTAACACATTAAAAACCTTCCACGAAGAGGCCGTGCGCGATCGGCCTCAAGCAGTTGTCCCTTGTGCTCTGCGGTCACACTCCCAGGTCTTTAAGAACAACACTAATCCAATTTCCTTTTCATGTTCCTCAAGAAATACCCTTCCACGGTGTGGGCAGCCGGGAAGTGACACCAGCCTTCATACCCGTAACAGCACAAGAAACCAAGTTGGTCACATTCAAATCCTTCCTACACCTCCTAATACCTCTCTTATCTCCATGACTAACCCTCCTCACGTCTCTTTATCACCTCGCACCGCTAGGCCAAACGATTCGAGTACGCCGGCTGCTATTCTTGGTCTCCTGAAACCACGCTCTAAACTACACGTAGGAGCTTTTAACGTACGAACACTTTGCCAAATAGGACAGCAGGCTTCCTTAGCTAGGACTTTAGGATCTCGCTCCATCGATGTGTGCTGCGTCTCCGAAACGCGCATACAGGATCCGAGTAGCGTCATTCATTTGACCTCACCATGCCAAAATAAAGAACCGACTCGATTTACGCTTCGTGTATCTGGGAGCCCTGATTCTGCTTCCCGTGGCCTCGCCGGCGTAGGTATAGCATTCAGTCCTAGGGCAGAACTACCTCTCTTAGAGTGGATCCCAGTAGACAGTCGTTTGAGCGCTGTCCGACTGAACGGAACAGTAAGAATCCGAAAAGATAGGGACACTCGTCGTTGCCTCTTCGTCGTCTCTGCCTATTCTCCCACTGACTGCAGCGCAGATGATGTAAAAGATGAGTTTTACAGAAAGCTCTCCGACCTCCTCCTAAAAGCTAGGCGCTCGGATGTAGTAATAATGGCCGGTGACTTTAATGCTCAAGTAGGTAAACTAAGCGATAGGGAAAGACACCTGGGTGGATCTTATGGTGTCATGGCTCAAAGAACAGATAATGGCGACCGTCTGTTGCAGCTATGCTCAGATAACTGCCTGTTCCTTGCAAATACTAACTTTAAGCATAAGGAAAAACATCTTTGAACATGGAGACCCCCTAATTCGTCCCAACGTTGGACCCAAATAGATCACATCGCTATCAGCCACCGATGGAGGGGCTCGATAGAAGACTGTCGCTCACTCTGGAGCACATGCTTAGATTCAGATCATGCTCTAGTACGAGCGCGTATCTGTCTGCGTCTTACTGGACGTAGGAAAGACGCTGCAAGGAAACCTCTTAGGGGCTTACTTAATGATAGTCAAGCTAAGAGTATATTTCAGGAACAACTAGGAAAACAGTTAGGCAGCCATATAGGTGATGCCCACCCCGAGACAGCATGGAATGATATCCGAAAAGCTGTGGAAACGGCAGTGATATCTGCTAGTACGGTAACCCGTAAGGTTAGGGAGCAACACTGGATCTCAGCAGCATCTATCGAACTGATAGATGCTCGGAAACTCATTCCACCTGGCTCTGAACATAATGAGGAGCGGAGTCAGCTTAAGCGCAAGCTGACAAGAAGTCTACGCAATGATCGTGAACAGTGGTGGGTAGCGAAAGCAAGAGAGATGGAAAAGGCAGCGGCAATAGGTAATAGCAGACAATTGTTCAGACTTGTTAAGGAAACCGACTGTTAGCGAAACACTCTCAGAGAAAGATGGACATATTATACATTCTCAATCCAGGAGATTGGATCGATGGGCAGAACACTTTAGGGATCAGTTCAACTGGCCTTCAGCCACACTGCGGTTTCCCACGATCTCCAGTCAACCTGAATGGCAAGTTAGTGTAGGTCCTCCAACTCTTTACGAAGTTGAAAAAACTATAGGAAATCTCAAGCGAGGGAGAGCAGCAGGCCCTGACAGGTTTACTCCTGAGATTTTTAAGGATGGTGGTCCAGTATTAGCAATGAGATTAACTGAGGTTTTAGGTAGGATTTGGGAACTGGACGTAATCCCATCTGACTGGTCTCAATCACTGATTCTGCCAATCTATAATAAAGGACAGGAGTCCTCTTGTGACAGTCACAGAGGAATCAGTTTGACTAATATAGTGTCTAAGACATTAGCATCACTAACACTTCGACGCCTGATCAAAGCTCGTGGAGAGCGGACTAGAGAAAACCAGGCTGGTTTTCAACCTGGACGTGGTTGTATGGACCAGATATTCACACTACGTCAGGTCCTAGAACATAGATACACATTCAGACGCCCATCAATGGTAGTATTTCTCAATCTCAAGGCGGCATTTTGACTCTGTTGATCGTGAGGTTCTATGGCAGTGTTTGTCAGTGAAAGGAGTACCAAAGAAGTACATCAACCTTATAAAGGCTCTCTACTCGAACACAACTGGTTGAGTGAGAGCTTGTGGCGAACTGTCATCAGAATTGGTTACCTCAATTGGTGTTCGTCAGGTCTGCCCACTCTTTTTATTCTTGTTTAACTTTGTAATTGACATGTTTTTATAGATGACACTTTCCTCATCTAAATTTCCAGGGGTTGAACTTCTACCAGGAGATTCACTTGTTGACTTGGACATAGTTCTATTTGGTGAAGACGCTGACAGAGTCTTATGAACACTCTAGGCAACAATGCACGCATGTTCGGGATGCGATTCTCCCCCTCGAAATGCAAAATGTTGCTTTAGGATTGGGTTGCATTGACACCCGAGCTAATGATAGGGAGTGAAGTAATTGAGCATGTCGATCACTTCACTTATTTCGGAAGTCTCATCAGCCCTTGTGGTCTGGTGTGTGACGAAATCTCAGCACGGATACAGAAGGCTCGACTAGCTTTTACCAACTTGCGTCATTTATGGCGTGGGCGAGATATCCGTTTACCAACCAAAGGACGTGTTTACTGCACAGCAGTTCGCTCCGTCCTACTTTATGGCAGTGAAACATGGCCGGTAAGAGTAGAGGATATTCGTAGGTTAATAGTATTTGATCATAGGTGTCTTCGAAACATTGCTCGTATATCCTGGGACCACCGAGTAAGTAATACAGTTGTTAGGAAACGGGTACTAGGTAAGGATTGCAAATCAATTGAAGTAATGAAATTTCATCAGTTGAGATGGCTGAGACACGTGATACGTATGCCCAACGAGCGACTGCCTCGACGTGCGATGTTCAGTGGTATAGGAGTAGGATGGAAGAAAGCCAGGGGCGGCCAGACCAAAACATGGCACAATTCCATGAAGTCACTGACAAGTGGACTGAGTCATGTCGGTAAGTGTAGACTACCTGGTTGGGGACCGCGAGATGATAGCAACCGATGGTCAGATACCCTGAATGACATGGCTCAAAATCGTTTGCAGTGGCGCAGGTGCATACAATCTTTGTGTTCTCCCAAATTTTGATCTCCTTATTCCTCCTTGTCTCTTTTTTTTCTCTTCCCAAATTTATTTCGCTGTATTATACTCTTTAAATAACATCTCCAAACACTAATTTCCTGATTACTGCTTATACTCTTATTACCTCTACCACTACGGGATTTGAATCGACCACTGCATCTCTGTGCTAACGTGGTGTGGCAACTCGAACTGATGCATGAACGTACGAAGTTCTACGTTGTTACTGACTGACTGACTGATATTGTGTATCTTAAGTCTCCTTTCATAACTAAACCCAGAATCTTCAGATCACTATTACATATGCATCACTGTTTCCTTACCTAAAAGAAATGTTTGATGCTTAGTAGTATTTTACAGATTCAGATGATCTATGGAATAGTTTTGGTACTTAACAAGTAAAATTATCATGTCTTTTCCAGTGAGTTTATTAAAATCCATAATTACTAAATGTGCTATCAATTTGGCTGGAGTTGTGAGGTGTGACATTTCTAGGACCAACCTTTCTTAACCTCTTCTTTTCGTTGTGAGGAGGCAGAATCGCTGCAGATGCTATTGGTTGTCTGAGGGGACCAACTTACTAGTCACACCCCTGTACATGCTAAGTTACAATGTAACTAACCGGAAACATTTGTGATGGAAAGTCAATATTTAGAGAAAACCTTGGATGCCATGGAATTTAGAGTAATAGAAATTTGTTGCAATATTTTATACTTTTGTGCTGAGGATTCTTTGTACTGAATAAACAGTAGTGAGTAATGAATACATAATTCTGTCAGCTTTTATATCGATTTAACTTGGTTGGTACCATGTTGCAACGGATTCGAAATACAACGCCAGTTTCTAGTGTCGAATTTTCTTGATTTTACATGTTATTGCCGATTCTGGTCATTATTAAGTGTATTAAGTACATCCCATGGGCTCACTGAGTTTTTGGCTCTTGTTTTTTTAATAGTTTCCTTACTTTTCAGAGTTTATACACGCTGTTTTTAATGCTTCTACAGTACAAAACGTAACTTCAGATGACACACGAATCGCTATACATGTGACTGAATTGCATCCTAACAGTCTGAAACTATAAACTTCTGGTTTTTCGGAGCGATATTTTTGGTGAGACCATAATTTATGGACGACCTTTGAGTGACGCCAGATTGACCTTGAGAGTGTCCACTTAATAAGCAAGACCGAATGGGGGTTATAAAGCTGTGTGGGGAATTAGAATTTACAGTTGATGATTAAGGCTAGGAATTAGATTTCGGGTTTTCATCACGAACTGACATCAGCTATATTGTCAAAACTCTGTTTATCCGAACGAATAAATGAATTTCGCGCCAAAATCCGAGGCCTGTTACCTTATATCTGACTGGTCCATTCATAAATTATAGTCTCGCTGATATTTTTTCCATAAAAACGAGGAAAGAAAAAGGAAGCTCCGTATTTAGTTCATATTTTAAACTGGATTCATTCAGAGTATTTTACGGATGAACCGAAAAAGATAAGCATAGTTAACCGGTAAGTTCAGATCACCGAGATAGGTTAGGAAGAACTAGGCTGATATCAAGTGATTTGGGAAGTGGGACAAGTATTGGAAAAGTAAACCTGCAATTAACAATGTAGGCTGCTATTTACTACCAAAAATATCCACTTATTTAGGAAAGAACAAAACTCAAAAAAGAATGAGTGAAATGTATATATACCAAGTAGAGGAAAAAGTCAAATATTGAGTGAGTGTTGCTCATGACAACAGAATCGTAGTGTTTGACCTAAGGAATAACTATCAACCAAATATTCTGTCATAGGCAATTGGGGTAAATCAGCTTGTAGATCACTAATTCTCCAGTTAATTAAGACCTGACCAGGAGACTTAATTTTTGAGAATCTGATCACACAGACAGATTAAGCTGTCAAAAATCCGATTTGTAAATGACAGAAATAACTGGAGACATCGGTAGCCTTAAGCCCCATGCCTACTTAGATGAGCCAGTTAGATGGTTACAGAGCTTGAGTATGGAGAATAATTCTGGAAGCAGTACATCAACACAGAAGAGAATGGTGATATCTACCAGCACACTATCAACAGAACGACTTAACCAAAAAAAGAATCTCGCTAAAGAAGTGTTAACCAGATTAAAGTGACTAATCAATTTAAACTGCTTGAGGGGTTGCAGGGTCTTTATGTGTTATGTCCCGATAAGCATAATGAGTGGTAACTTTGAGATCCATTTATGGACCAATACCATGCGTATATTTTTATCGTATAATTGTTATGTAACTAAACTATACATATTCATGTCCCTCTTATTATGAGCCTCATTTTGACCTATGAACTATTATTATACGATTTACCATTCTTGGTCGGCTATTAATAGACCTTTCGATTGACTTTCTCCCAAAAAATGCATAGCCCTCAGCAAAGACCATGAAAAATGAATTACATGATAACTAATCTCGTAAAGTGTAGGGACATAATCTTTTTGAAAGCTGGTATTTCCGTTTACTACGTTTATGTAAGTCGAAAGTCCTGTCCACTAGCAATTCCTTTAATAGTATACCAAGAGTATGACAGAAAATTCAGCTTATTTTCTGATTTATTACTATTCACATAGTGTTAGTTATAGGACTTGTTTGACGAGCATATCAGGGTATGATATAATTCCCGTCTATATGAAAAATCATCATAAAGAACTAACAACGTGACTTTAAAGACCATTTTAGTCGCTGAGATTTCTTAATATTAACAAAATTTTGTTGATCTAGATTGACAACAGTACTGAATGACATAGGTTCTAATCTTAGTGGACGACATGAAGTTTCCTGAATGTTCTAACATAAAAACTCAAATACGAAACCGGAGTCGGTCTCGCTGAATTAGTGTTTACAAATATCGAATACAACTAAATGGAACCAAAAAAAATCAAAATTTAAACAAAGAAACAACATGCAACTTACGTGGTTGAATAATCACAACATTATGCCCATTTTCAGGTAGTAAGTATGATTTCTTCAGCAACTCATCGTACACTTTATTTGAATCCACATCTACTAAATTTGAACCTAGATAATGAACATGATTAACAACAGAATAAGTTGTAATCCCATAAAATATCATTATGAACGACGGCTAACACATAACATTATAAGCTTTTAAGAAATTAATGAACTGAATCATTTATTGAATAGTGTAATTGAATAATAGGTTTAGAAAAGACGTAGTCATGAGCAAAGTTAACGTTGTAGAACTGTAGAAAAAACACGATGGTCGTCGTGTGTATATATTACAATGAAGCTAAGACAGTTGTAAGAAAACTTCAAAACATTAATGACTTAAAAATCCCTACAGAATATTTAAAAACAAAGAGCATTAGTGCGAACGATTGTTTTCGGTAACTTCTCCATCAGGCTCTGCAATTATATGCCCAAAGCTTTCATTTTCGTGTTACGATAGGCAAAATATTAAAGCTGAATTAACATATGTTACAAAGCGAAAATGGAAAACTTCACGCCAATCGAGTCATAAATAGTAAAAATTACTGACAAAACGTCATTGGTAATGTCAAGAAAATGTCATACATAAAGGATGAGAAGAATCAAGTCCTGATTAAGGTGATGAGTTGTAATCAATAAGATAAAATCGTATGCAAAATAGTTATCACAATATCGGGAGCGTTATGTTATAGTTGTGTGGTGTTTGTATGAACTAACAATTCCTTTGTACTTGTTGAATGCTTGATTTCAAATTCCAAATACAGTACATTCGTTCGTGCTTATCTCAGTCAGTCAGTCAGTAACAACGTAGAACTTCGTACGTTCATGCATCAGTTCGAGTTGCCACACCACGTTAGCACAGAGATGCAGTGGTCGATTCAAATCCCGTAGTGGTAGAGGTAATAAGAGTATAAGCAGTAATCAGGAAATTAGTGTTTGGAGATGTTATTTAAAGAGTATAATACAGCGAAATAAATTTGGGAAGAGAAAAAAAAGAGACAAGGAGGAATAAGGAGATCAAAATTTGGGAGAACACAAAGATTGTATGCACCTGCGCCACTGCAAACGATTTTGAGCCATGTCATTCAGGGTATCTGACCATCGGTTGCTATCATCTCGCGGTCCCCAACCAGGTAGTCTACACTTACCGACATGACTCAGTCCACTTGTCAGTGACTTCATGGAATTGTGCCATGTTTTGGTCTGGCCGCCCCTGGCTTTCTTCCATCCTACTCCTATACCACTGAACATCGCACGTCGAGGCAGTCGCTCGTTGGGCATACGTATCACGTGTCTCAGCCATCTCAACTGATGAAATTTCATTACTTCAATTGATTTGCAATCCTTACCTAGTACCCGTTTCCTAACAACTGTATTACTTACTCGGTGGTCCCAGGATATACGAGCAATGTTTCGAAGACACCTATGATCAAATACTATTAACCTACGAATATCCTTTACTCTTACCGGCCATGTTTCACTGTTTCGTGTTTATCTAGTCCTTCTTGATCCGATTGCGTTATTTCTGGGAATCCTAGCTTGTACTATAATTCAAATACTACTAATTATCATAAGTTTCTGTGATAATAGTAATAATAATGACGTAATGGCAATAGTAATAATAACAGTAATAACATCATTAACCATAACTATTGATGAAAGTATAGTCTAATAACTCATTCCAGCTGAGTTTACAGCAGAGAAAAAACACTTTGCCACAGCAGTGTTTCAATATTTTGTAAATGTCATGCTAGGAAAAATCAAGTAATGGTAACACGTTAATTAATAGTTTGAAGCAACAAAGTGTATTTCCTGAACTACTTGCTTACGAAATAATTAAAAGACAGCACCCTTTATTATGAAAAAATTTAACACAATAAGGCAGTAAATCATCGTCCTCAGAAACGGACGAAGAAAATGCTATCAGCTTGTTAGCCTAAGAAATTGCGAGAAAACTTTTTGCAACTGCAAGAATATGTATCGAGCACACACAAAAATAATTTGAAAGCCACCTGGGTTTTTAAAAGCAGTTTTTTGTGAAGACTACAAAAAGTAGGTAACAAGGGACAAAGGGATCATGGCAGAATGTATATAATCATTCAGATGGTTAACACAGTGAAGACGTGATATAAGAAACGCACCATACAGAAAAACACAAAAAATGAAGAATGAAACAACGTATGCAACAAACAATACAGTCCCAGTAAGACATTCCATTTAGTAGTTTGTATCTTGGTCTTGGTGACGAATGAAAGAGTGGAGAATTGTTAGCGGATTTTAATTTGAATCATGTCCAGTGATATTTCAAACCACTAAACTGCACGATCTCTAGGACCTAATTTAGGAAAATATAAAGAAATGTTAGGTGAAAACCTGACACATTTATCACCCAAACTCCAGGCAGTCACCTTTTGTTATACGGAGATAAATCGCGTCTCATACACCACCTTCACCAGTCTCCTTTCAGGCACATAAACATCTTGACTCCTCTTGATGGCTCGTCACAATGTGTTAGAGCAAGGCTTTGCCATTCTTGCAAAGATATAACCTATGGACGACTTCTGAGTGACGTTAAACTAACTTTGAGAGTGTCCACCGAATGAGGGTTATAAACTAGTGTTAGCAGGTAGAATTATGGTTTAGAGTTGATGGTTAATGTTAGGGCTTAGGTCTAGGGTCATCATCATGGACTGACATCGGCTACAATGCCAAAACTCTATTTAGCCAGATGGGTGAGTGAACTTCGCTCCAAAATATGAGACCTGTTATCTTATACCTGATTGGTTCGTCCATAAATTATAATATCACCGAAAATTACTTAAGTAATTTAAATAAATCCTTTATGTATTACTTACATCTTCTGTCAAGAGAGTATCGAAATAAACGCCCAACATTTCGAAACATTTTATTAAACACCAGGTGATTATTAGTAGAACTAAAATTTACATAATTTTTGTAGTCAATGCGACTACGACTATCACATTGATGACCCACAGGAAGCCAACCAATTTTAAAATAGCGCCTTCTGTCTCAGTTTCAGCTTCAGTTTGAAAAGGATAGGAGAGTAGGTGGCCTGTGATAGTCGTGGTAATGGTGGTCCCTCAGTTGACGGATGGAGCCTCAACCAAGTGCTGAGTTAATGAATTCCACTCGTTGCTGATTCGAAGGGAAAGTCCATAGTCAGCTGACAAGTAATTTGTTCTAGGCTTGTGAACATATTTGGAGTGTCCTCGTAAATTCTCTGTTTTGGAAGACAAGAAAAATGAGGGGATATAGGTGCGAATTCGGCACTAATAAATTTGAAAAATGCAATCAAGTTACCTCTAGTTCTGCGATATGTCAACGGGAAAAGGTTCAACTTGGCCAGTCGAGCTTCATACGGAAGCTTCTCTTTTCCGGGAATCGGCTTAGTTGCCGTTCTCTGAACCTTTTCCAGAGGCTCACTGTCTTTTTTAAGCAGGGGCTGGTCGCTTGTATGCAGTACTGAAGTTTAGGACGTACGAACACTGTATACAAAGTCCAAAACGTCTTAGCGTCGATATGACTAAAAGCTCTACTTATTCACCATAACGTTCTAAAACCTTTAACGACTGTTGCACGGCAGTGTGAAGTAGTCTTTAAGTCTTGGCTAACGATGACTGCTAAGTCATTATATGTCTGGACGACAGGTAGCTCAGTGTTATTCATCGTATATGTATCTGTACCTTGATGACCGATATACATCACAACACACTTGGAAGTATTTATCGGCAACTGCCAGGTTTGAGACCATTCAGATAATTTCTTCAGGTCATTTTGGAGTTCTACGTTATCACCCTCACATCGTATCGTTCTCCATATCTTGACATCGTCAGCGCATAGCAAGGCCGATGATGATAGGAGACGAGGAAGGTCATTTACATACAAGAGGAATAGCACTGGCCCCAAAACTGTACCCTGGGGCACTCCACTAAGCACTGTTCCCCAGCTAGATAACTTTGAGTTCACTCGAACTCTTTGTTAACGCCCAACTAAGAAGTCTTTTATTCACATGAATAGATTGCCTCCAATCCCTACATTTCTTAACTTATATAACAGCCGGTTGTGCGGAACCTTGCCAAAAGCTTTGCTGAAATCAATGAAGGCTACGTCTACAGGTAACTTTTGGTCCTTGAAAGCGCACCAGACAGGGATAACCTATTCTGAAACCGTGCTGCTTTTCCGAAAGGATCTGGTTTTCATCGAGGTACTTAAACAGCTCCTTCCAAATAATCTTTTCTAAGATTTTAACAACCACACTAGTTAGGCTAACTGGCCGGTAATTCTCAGGTTTATGTTCCGTACCTGTTTTGGAGACAAGACTTACTGTGGCGTTCTTCCAGTCTTTTGGTAAACGACCTTGCGTTACGGATAGATTAAAGCATATGCTTAAAGGGTTCGCAACGAAGTTAGATAATTCTTTCAGTAGTTAATTGATGTTAGACCACCGTTGGAAACCTGGAAGCACTGGACGGCCGTTTCGTCCTAGTATGGGACTCCTCAGCAGTGCGCACCCACGATCCCGCGGGATTCGAACCCAGGACCTACTGGCTTCGCGCCTGAGCACTTAACCATTAGAACACTGAGCCGGCATCCAATGGTGTTAGTGTCTAACATCAACCAATCCATGATCTCAACCAAAAACTTAACAATCTCCACAACCCCCATACTGATAATTCTTTCAGTAGCCTAGGATGCAATTCATCGGGTCCCGTGGATTTACCTATGTCAAGCTTATTTAGCAAACTAAAGACATCGAGTTCTTTGATGGCCACGTTATCCAGTATACGTGTGGGAGATTTGTACGCGCTGACGAGAAGACTGCTTCTATGGTGTATAAATTGGTAAAGTAGTTTGAGAACACTTGAGCCTTACCAAAGTCGTCCTCCGCTAATGATGCGGAAGTGCCGTCCCCCCATAGTGCAGAAATATTTTCTCTTCTTTTTGTCCTATGGTTTATATATGAGTATAAGCGTTTGGGACATTCTATGAATTCCTTAACAATTTTTCCTTCGTACAACTTTCTAGACACCAAAGCAATAGTGCATTGAGCATGCTTTAATCCAGTCTATGTCCCGCTAACACAAGCCCTTTCAATTAAGGACTCTGGGTCTATTTTCTAATCTTCTAACAATGCTGAGTGCATGATATCTGGTATGTTTGCTTCACAGATGTTAGATCTGGGTTGAGCTAACGCGTGCTCGTGATTGACAGTTATATGGAAGCCGAAAGTTAAAACTGCGTGATCACTTTTACCTAGGGGTAGCATGTAATGAAGGTTCGCAACGTCATCCTCATAGTGAGACAATATAAGATCTAGTAAGGATGATTCAGTTTCCGGGTTGTACCTAGTCGCTTCTTTCACATGTTGCACTAGGGCACATGTGATACCCACATCAACCAGTTCCTGATCGAAGGAATTTTCTGACGGTTCAGTTAGCAGATTTTCCCAGTCTACCATAGGTGCATTAAAGTCCCCTAGGATTATTATTATTATTATTATTATTATTATTCACAAACATCTTATGGGTACATAAGTGTTGTGAAGAAACCATTTCGGGTTTCTTCAGAAAATGCAATTATACACAATTCTCAATAATGTTAGCATTATACTTGCCATATTTAAAAAAATAATAATAATGAAAATAAAATAGATAATTGAGAATAATAATAGTAGAGTATTAATAATAATAAATGGGGTCTTTGTAATTGAGAAGAATATTGAATTGAGTTTAAAGAAGGAAATGGAGAAAATAAGGGAATAGAAATAAAGGAGACATGAAATACGCAAACAGTCTAATAGGCGTGTTTATGAACACAGAACAAGAATAAACGACTATGTGTGTATCGTTAAATTAGTAACAAAAAATAATTAAGAAAAAATAACTTATAATTGCAGTAAGATATGACGCTAGAATATAAATGTCTGTGCAGTCACATAGTTTGGAGTGATGCTATGAAAGTCTCAATTAAATGAAAAAGGTAATAAAATATCTATGTGTATGAGTAGTCATATATGCATAGTGAAGATAAAACACAAGTTATTGTCTTAATTAAAAACTTCGTAGTCTTAAGAATATTTATTTAGAGGGAAAGAAAAGAGAAAAGAAGTGTACACCTAGTGAAAAGTTTTGATCCATGATAAGAATAATAAATGTGTAATGAATATCAACCTCAGAAGGAAACCAACAATTTAGAAAAAATAAGATAAAAATCCTTTAATGCACTCGGATAAATACATGTAGATTTATGTAATAATATACAGAGTGAAAGCGAACATTAGTATAAACAATTGTTCAATAATAATTAAGATTGATGCTATGAAAGTCAAAATTGATTTCAAAGGACAATTTGGAGTTAAATATGTTTAGAAGGGTAAGAAGATACAAAAAGAATATCTAATGTGTCGGGGAACTAATAATGATATTAATAACGGTAATAATGATAAAACACGAACATAATCAGACTTCATATATTAAGATAAAGAGAAATAAAACAAAATAGACGTGAAAAGATTTAAAGGTTTTATTTTGATTTTCAAGCAATTAAATAAATGACGGACCTTGTTTGTATAAATCATTATTGAATACATTGATATTCAATAGGTGGCATAATCCACTTTCGGAAAGAAAATCGTCAAGGAGACTTTTGAACCGGGTTGTAGTTTCACTGCAACGGAGGTTCACTGGCAGTCTGTTCCACATGGTTGAGTAGCGAATAAGGAAAAAATTCTGACGTAAGTTTGTGTGGGTTCTTGGAATCGCTAGAATATTCTCCTTATTGCGTAGATTGTGGGACGATATTATAAGGTATGAAGGGGTAGATACCGATGAGTAGGAAATACCGTTAATGAGCCGGTAGATAAAGACAAGATTTAATTTGATACGTCTGATCCAAAGAGGTTCTAAGTTGAGTTGTTGACATCTTTGGTAGTAGTCTTTGTTATCGGAATACCCCAGAACAGCTTTGGTGAACTTTCTTTGAACACCTTCAATTCTAATCAGATCATTATGTCTACAATTACTGTAAACTAAAATACCATATTCAAGAATGGGCAAGACACATTTTCTGTATAGTAACAATCTCGATTCGATATTATTGAAGTTTATCATTATCAATCCGATGAGCTTTCTAGCTTTGGATACTTGAGATATAATGTGTTCAGAAAAGTTCAGACTATTGCTATATCTTAAACCCAGGTCACGAACAGTGTTGAGAGGTTTGAGTGTATGTGTCTGTACAGTCAGATTTAAGTTAAGACAGCGACCAATGTGAATAAATCCGCTTTTGTCAACATTAATTGGCATATTCCACGAAATAGTCCATTCGTACAACTTGTTTATTTCCTCCTGGATTATCGCAGAAATATAGCTTTCTTTCGTGGGAGAAGAGAATGAATAAACTACTTTCAGGTCATCAGCAAAAAGGAAAGGCTTGCCATACTGAAAGAGGGAACACACGTCATTGATAAAAAGGAGAAAGAATAATGGACCAACCACACTTCCTTGTATAACCCCACTGGTTACATTCACAGGTTTAGAGTAGCACGATCCAAAGCGAACGATTTGGCTACGTTCTTCTAAAAAAGACTTGAGCCAAGATAAAAGGGGATTCTGTATGTCAAATGAAGAGAGTTTTAAAAGAAGAAGTTTGTGTGAGACACTGTCGAAAGCTTTACTAAAATGGAAGTAAGGAATTATCACTGACTGACCAACATCTCTTCTCTGGGTAATTTGATCAAAAAACTCCAGGTGCGATGTGAAACATGAGCGTTTAGTCATGAACCCGTGTTGGGATGCGCTGATCAGACTAGCTGAAAGTAAAAATGATAGTAGCTGTTTGTGAATGATTTTTTCCATGGTTCTTGAGAGCACGGATGTCAAATT